TATAATTGCAGATGCCATAATTCAAGCCCTAGAGACTCGAACCTGGGGCCCTAAATCGTGAACGACCCTCCAATCGATGAGCCACAATGAAATTAGTTGATTGAAACGCGACCCGATAACTATTTCAAATATATCCTAAGCTTTCTATTTTACACGACTAAACTTAACCTAGGACACAGACGCGTGTAAATTTGCGACACGGCACATTTAAATCGAAACTTCTAGAACTTTGCTCTATAATGAATACTCTGTTCTTATATTAGTCATAATCTAGAGAAATAAGCGCATAGTAATAAACAATTAGCACGTAATTAGAGATGTCACTATGTAAAGTATACATACTTATATATTTGCGCCACAAATAACTAAGAAATTCACTTCATATAAATTTATCTATTAATCGCATCATTCACCTTTTTATTATTATACACTTAATGGTAACCATTTAAATATTAATGATATAGATAATCGTAGGTTTAAACAATAATGGTGGTGGCCCCAAATCTGTCCGAAATACGGTTGCCATTTGCACATTTACAAGAAAATGGCACCCTCCTAAATAATTAAAAATAACTATAATTCTATTACCTTAGCCAATCTTAGGTTAAAGTAGATACGAAACAAATAAAATCTTTAAAAGGAGAAGAACGCAATCCGTAAGATGCGAACAAATTATACAACAAACATCAGCTGTAACATTGAATAAACACTTCGAATAGAAACAACATTGCATACTGGCAAATAAACATTTGATAAAGAAACATCTGTAACGTTGCAATAAACAATTTAAAACCTTCACTGGCAAACTTTGAGAGACTATTAGCTGAAATGACGTCCTGTTCCATTGGATAAATAAAAAAAAAACAAACTAAAACAAGAACAACCTAAAAAAAAAAAAGTAAAGTAACAGCCTATACATGTCCCACTGCTGGGCAAAGGCCTCCTCTATAGAGAGGGTATCAGGGCATAGTCCACCACGCGGCCCCACTGCGGATTGGCGGACTTCACATATCTTCGAAATATATTTTTTTTTTGTTATTATTCCGAAAATATGCAGGTTTCCTCACGATGTTTTCCTTCACCGCGGAGCACGTGATAAGTCAGCACTTAAAGTTAAAAACTTCATTGGTGCCGGCACCGGGGATCGAACTCAGGTTGCTCGAGTATATTGAATTAAAGGCGAGCGCCCGGACACTGGGCTATCACGGCTATCAACCTAACAAAAATAAATAATAATTTCTTAATAGTAATTCTTCCATGGGTGACACTTATTCTTGAAGTTAATTTCTAAAAAACCCTATTTTAACTCTGACACTGTTACATATTATAATTTATCGCGTATTATTTTCAACATTTGCCAATCAACTTCAAATAAATAAGACACGAGCGTGGAGAAACTGAAGATTGAATATTGAAAACCATATGTAAGTCGACAACTAAATTTGGAATCACAAAAAGAGAACGTAACAAAGAAAACATAACGAAAACGTATATAAATATAAAGTGCAGCATGAAATATATGAAGGTCCTATGAAACAAAAAACAACAAAACAATTCTGTTAGAACTGAATCTAGAATCTAGAATCTAGAAAAATCTAGCGAGACATCTTTAACGTCAAGATCATGACAAATTACTATTTCATAAAACATTTAGACTAAAGTCTAATTAGTTACTATTATTATTAAATACTTACTTTTTCAGATATGAGCATACAAAACTAAATGTAATAAAAATTTACACGATATATATATTTATGAATTACTACACAGTATTATTAGGTCTATCACACTTAAAAATTCTCAATACTCTGTAATTACACTAATATTATTTCATAATTTTATATCCTAATCCTATATTAGCTAATAGAAAATATTATGAATGGATTTAATAAACACAAATGGCTATTAAAATCAAAGTGCAAACAAAAGCAGCTTCGAAGCCCAAATTATTGGAACGAGAATTATATATTTACTAGCTGACCCGGCAAACGTTGTTTTGCCATATAAATTAATTGTAGGGTAGAAAAAAATTTAGGGGTGGACCACCCTTAAAATTTAGGGGTATAAAAATTTCCGATTCTCCACCCTGGCCACAAAATTTCACGAAAATCAGTCGAGCCGTTTCGGAGGAAGTTCAATTACAAACACCGTGACACGAGAATTTTATATATTAGATTATTAGTGTGACAAACAAATTAAATATGTTCTACACATTATATATTACTACAAAATACTCGTGTAACGGACACGTCTTTTTCTCGTATATAAATATAAATACCTTTAATGTCGTTTAAACTACGATAGAGTAGTATAGATACCTATATAGGAAATTAATTCTAACAAAATACCGTGACAAGTGATGAGCCTATCGCCGCCACAAAGGTTAACCCGCCAACAATCTGCGAACATTTAATCTGCAAAGAAGCTACAATGGAGAAATATACGATAGAATCACGTATTTATATAAAAAGAAATCCGTTTCTGGAAAAATTAAATTCTTTGGTTTGCAGTTTAAAGAAATTTGTAAGTATAAATTCATACGTGGTCAGACATACAATTTAATGACATAATGTAAAAATACACAGAGCCATACAATAAGAGCGTATTCGTTTAAACACTAATAGAATTAAATACAGTAATTACAATTATTATGACATAAACCATAGATATTATAGAAGCTCCATATAAAACCATAGATATGAGAGACTGTAGATTATGTATAAACTACATAAAGAACGTTCACAAATGTCCACGGAAACTTAATTGATAATCCAAATTCTAATACACGCATCTTATATATAGACCCATTAAAATTTGGCAATGACAATAAAATTTATAAAGCTTTATAATTATAGCGCGAAATGAAGTCTTCGATTATTCTAACATTGACTTAACAATGACAAATATTATATCTATACTTAGTAATATTTATTTAATTAATAATAAATTCAATACATATATTAGATTAAATTAGGTTAACATTTTAGTTTAGTGGGCTAGTATATACTAATAAATATATTTTTCAATATTATAACGATATTACAAAATAATTTATTCCTATTATAAGAATTATGACATAGCTTACTTAGTTATTTTTAGTTTAGTCGAACACAAATAATAGTAAGAAATACGGTTTAATTTATAGAAGTTTATTGTTTTTTTTAGTAATTTTTTTTATCATAGTTAATAATTACTTAACCAAAGAAAGATTTTATTATTTCCGTAATATAATCTAAAAAGTTAACATAGACTATAAATGTATTATGCTTGAATGTTGGTAGTTATTTGTTATTATTACATAAAATAATACATTAACATACTCCTGGTAGTTGTTTACTGTGTAGCAATTGTAATATATTGTAATATATGTAATTGACAAAAACAAAAACATTGTATATATGATACACATCTTTTTTGGTAAAGAGATATATTAAGATCATTTAAACAGAGTTTATTCGAGTGGGAACATTTTGTACATTAATTATGATTTTTAAAAACGACGTTTGTATATGTAAGCTGCCCGGTTCGAACCTGGGACTAAGAACGCGATTCCGCATTCTTCGGCCAACAAGGATATTTGTAACAAACTATATACGAAAATCATATCAAAATAAAACACAATCCCAATTAGCAGTGTTAGTATTATTAGACGAGATTAACGCTCGGTTTCTGAAACACTGATCATCGTAGATGCTAACTAAACAGCTGTCAAATGCTTTGTCAAATGTCATTTGAGTGGCCAAAAGGACGGTTAGACTCTTTGAATTGATCATGAATTGATCATTCTGATCATTAAGAAGATCATTTTGATTAATTCAGACAGTTTAACCATCCCTTTGGCAACTCAAATAACATTTGAAAAGCCATTTTCCAGCTGATTCTTCTACGATGATCAGTGCTTCAGAAACCGGGCGTTAGAGTTTGGTTCACCTAAACTATTCCATAACTATCGATTTAACATTAAAACACTTAGTGCAATATAGCCTATTTTAATTTTGCGTTCGATTAAAACAAAAAATTTGAGAGACGATCAAAAGCCCGAAAGAATTTAGCATAGTACGAGCTACCTACGTAAAAGCTACCAGACATACAACTGTACGCTAATAATAACACTTCCAAATAATTCATACGCAAAGGTTCAACCTTACGCCTAAATATATCTAAACTTAAACGAAATGCCCTGTCTCGATACAAAATGAGTGATATAAGCAAATTTGGAGTTATATTTATGATTTTGATCTGCATTGATTTTAGTAGATATTTTGTATCGAGATATAGAGACATATTAAGACTAGAACCAAAAATATATATGTGTATATATAGGTTTACATATTTACGAATATCGACGAACTTGACGAATGATCAAAAGATTCAGTAACATTACATATATATATATATATATATATATATATATCAATCTATATATGTAAATACTCGTTATTATTACACATTATGCATAACTACATAAATAAAATACTTGAAATCAATACTAGATATTATGAAATAATTAAAGAAATGTTAACAACCATCTGATCGTGTTGTTTGCGACGTCACTAGGAACCATGATATTTGATTCCATCTGAATAGATTTTTGGTCCTTTGAGCAGGATCAAAACAAACATGACGCGTAATTAAAATATGTAGAAAACGTGATGTGTAATAATAAATTTCGTCACCAGGGGGCGTTAAACCAAACATTCATGGGCCAATGCCCAGCGGTGGGTTTTATATTGCTTCACATAGTGATCGTAAACGGCATTTACTGAATATTTTACACATCTTACGCTGATGGCTTATTAACAAACTTCAAACTATAAACGCATTTAACAAGTAGTTTATTAAAATGTATAAATCAAAAACAAACATTTGAGATCGCATCACACAGCGGTGTTACTGGAAATCATAAATTGCGCCAAAAGACCATTGAATAGGGCGTAAATTTTAATGAATATCAAACGATGAAATTAAAGACCGTGAACTGAGTAGCAAGGCCGTATTTAAGGTACCAAATTGAGGATGTTCCTGTTCTCCAGAGACTCCTTGAGGGCGTAGAACAGCTGCAGCTGCTGTTCCGGTTTTAAGTTGTACACCTGCAGACAATGAATGATATATCATCATGACATGTTTCATGGACAGAATAAACAGTGGTAGAGCCACGCACAGGCCGCTGAAAGTCCGACGACCACACAGAAGGTCTCAAGGCACCACAAATGAACAAACGCAAATACATAGGCTGATAAAACACTATCCTCATTTTTTTTCTTTTAAAGACATTGCACTTACTTTAGGATAACTTTATCATATGTTGTAGGACGTTTTACAAACATAAATTGCACAATATAATAAAGAACATAAATAGCAGCCATGCTACTCTTAATAAATACATATGAAATAAGCACGACTATTGCGTGTTAACAACAGTATTCCGCTCTCAATGCATTACCCATAAGCTATACTCAATATATAGCCCAATTTTCAAAAGGTTGTCAACGCATCTGTAACCCTTGGGTTTAGCAGATGTCCATGGGCGGCGGTATTCACTTAACATCAGGTGACCCGTCTGCTCGTTTGGCAACTTTTCGCATAAAAAAAAAATACTGCTGACTGCAACACGTACGAAAATCCCAACGCATTTTATCTATATCGTTTTTTTTCGCATTTTATTCGTTACTTCTTTCGCTTATTTGTTACTTCCTTAACACCACACAAATAACTTCAAATACTTAGATACTGTTTATTTTCTTTACACCACATAAATAACAAATATCGCTTTACAACGATAATTTGGACTAGAGCCGTTGGTTGCTATTTGATTCCTTTTGTGCTATAATCTCTCACATAAGATGAAACATTAAAGTTTGCAGAAGAAATGGACGAAAAGTCGGTTTTATGCCAATACCTGCGGCAACAGCAAATAAAATCATCTGAAGACTAGCACAAACAAAAGATGAAACCTTAAAGTTTGCAGAAGAAATGCCGAAGAGTCGGTGTTTTGTCCATATATTATGGACGAAAAGTCGGTTTTGTCCATACCTGCTGCAACAGCAAATAAAATCATCTGAAGACTAGCACAAACAAAAGATGAAACATTAACGTTTGCAGAAGAAATGGACGAACAGTCGGGTTACGGTTACCTGCTGCAACAGCTTCTGAGGAGTGGCGGTGCGGATGAAACTGGTGATGTAGACGTTCACGAAGGTGGCCATGAGGAACTGGCAGTCGAAGCGGTCCATGATGCCCCCGTGGCCGGGGATGACGTCACCAAAGTCCTGCAGATGACGAGAAACGAATGGTCTTTTGCAGATTACAACTAGTTTTAACTGAGCATAAACGCTTTCATTGGAAATTACAAGTGCTTTAGATAAGAAGTTCATGAAAAAAAAAAAACATAGTTATGTACCTACTGATTTTGCTTTGTTTTTTTTTTGTGTACACACACATTCAAAGAGTCGTGTCACAATATATCAATATTATATTATTAATAATCAATTAAAATATTATTTTGCTATATATGTTATTACTATTATTAACTTCGCAGTCTATCGACTTCATCAGGTTCCACTGAAAACCAGTAATCGCGAAATTATTTCGTGATGGAATGCTCAGTGAGCTTTTTGGTGCAGTGGTGCGAAATTGTAATTTTTTTTTTATTTTAAAAGAAAGATTTTTTGTAGTTTTTTTAATGTGTGCATCCTTTAGGTTGGTAAATATATTCTTTTCTCTCCCCCCCCCCCAATTCCACAGCCTCCCCCGGCCTTTCAAGCCTCACGTGACTAATGGACGATGCCTTCGTAAGTAATTAAATGAAAAATAACAAGCCCTCTGTGTTTTTGGGCAACATACCTTAATCTTGAAGGCCCTCTTGAAGCCGGACGCGAAGAATCCGCCGAAGGGTCCGATCACCGAGCTGAAGATGCTCAGCGCCAGCGAGTGGATCATGAACGGGTACATGGTGAACTTCTCGCGTCCGAACTGGGGAGGGGGAACAAGAGAGAGGAGGGTACGATGAATTTTCGGGAAAAAATTGGGGGCTCCGTGGCGCAGTCGCCTAGGTATCGGCGTCGGCGTCCGGGGCCGTGGGTTCGGTTCCCACGACATGGGTACAATAGAACGTTCAAAGACAAGTTAACGTAAACAAATCTTATTGTTTGTGTTTAAGGGGCAAAAGACGACTTAACAATGCCCAATCATATACAGAAGAAAACAATAATAGTTTAATAGTGTAATACAGATGAAAATTTATATTCTGTGTGTTACTTTATATTGTACAACTTTCACCCGCGGCTTCGCTCGCGATGAAGCCCCCTTAAATAAATATCTTTTTTAATATTTTTTTTACACCTCTAAGAATATATGTACAAAGTTTCATGATAGTCAAAAATATATTTTTTTCCCAAATTTAACGTGACCCCTAAAAACATGATTCACTGTTATGCTGACACTATTTATGTGGGACAAAGGCGTACATTGCGGAGAGAAGTTCGCACATTCAAGGTTATTTGAGTTCCTTAAAGTAATGTAATATAATTTAGTAATATAATTTAAAAAAGAAATTAAAAAATCATCCGTGTGAATTCAGACATGCAAGTCCGACGTGCTGGGACGTCGGACATCGAATCCACCACATAAGCTACGGAGTTTTCTCAATTTCAGTGACTCGTATATTGACGTCAAATTCATGAGACAACAATCGGATGCACTCACTGCCTTCATCAGCGGCTGCAGGAACTGCGGCGGAGTGTACTCGTGGAGGCGGAAGAGGGTCGAGGGTTCGCAGTCCATCGTCATGCGGCCCAGGGACTCAGAGTACTCGATGGGGCACACCAGGTAAGGGTACTGAGCCATCAAGTAGGAGAGCTGCCAAAACAGAAATATGTGTGGATTGAGATAGGTCATAACTGTGGTAGGACCACGCAACAGTCTCCGATGTTGCACGAATGGGCGGTTCCATCCGAGAAAAGTGCGACTACCTCATAAAAGACCGGCGTGAAGTGGAATTGTTATACTTCTGCATTTCGTCTGGTAAGTGAGGTAGCTTAGTTCCGCTTTACTGTAATGTGGCAACGCGACTTTATCCCTACGGGTGTTGCATGTGTCAATGGGCGGTGGTTATCACTTAACATCAGGTGAACCACCCAGTCACTCTCCACGTTCTGACATTAAAAAACATCCATTTGTCGGCGTTCGTTTTACTGAGCACTGAACATCTCCATATCACTGCTTGCCATTAGTTAGCTATTACCAATTACGTATTCAAAATAAAATTTATATTTATAAAATACAAGTTTGGAAATAGTCCACGAGGAAACAGTTTACAAGAATATATCCACCATCTATTACATAAAGAATAGGCGACGCTTCCTTAACACCTTTGGTGTTGCGATCCCTTACCATGCAACCTTAGGCCCCGAAAGAAACACACAGTAAAATTACTGCCTGGTGTTGCAATGAGCATGGGCGGCAGTGGTCACTTATCACCAAATAAAAGCTGGGTAGCTTATCCTCTCCTAAACAAAAAAAAGTTTTCCTCCAAGAACGGCTCAGCGAAATCCGAATAAAGTCACACTGCACACTCTATACATTCGCCTCGGACTAGTAGACTCTACATGCAACCCTTCATATGTTGTTGATGTCTATATGCGGAGGTTAACACTTAACAGTCAGGTGAAGCACCTGCTCGCTTGTCAATTATTCAGTTAAAAATAATTGTTCGACTTCTGATCGAAAACTGGAAGTGGTAATAGAGTAAAACGCGGAAAAAACACTCACCACCAGCCCAAAGATGACAGTGGAGACGCCGCCACCAATGAAGCCCTCCCAGGTCTTCTTGGGGCTGAGCTTGATGAGGGGCGTCTTGCCGAAGAAGAAACCAAACACGTAGGCCATGACGTCATTGCAGATGATCATGGACACCGGCACGATGAACCAGATCAAACCTGCAGCGAGGATTAATGATTTTCATTCTAACAAGAAGATCTGGCTATAAATCTAAGAAATCGCGACAAATTACATCATAACTCAGAAACAGCAAACACTATTAGCTGTTATTAAAACATCAAAAACGTATTTAAATTTCAATACAAATGTCAATTGTTACGTCAAAAAAGTTAAAAAATCAAGACGGGCAAACGTGATTTAAAGTTTTAAAGTATTAAGTTACGACATATTTTAGGAAATATACCTATATACTCGTAACATCCTCAGCCGTCTGACAGAGAGTTTTTTGGCAAACCAGTTACTTTGTAATATTAAGTTGTTCGTGAATGACTATAATTTATTTCCGCAGAATGAGGAAAAGTTACCTTTAAAGTCAATATTGTATATGAATTGAGCGACGAGTTTCCGCATTCAGAAGAACAGTGGAACAATTCGATCGTTCCAAAGTCTATCTACGACCTCTTTCAATGTGCGCACGTGGGTTGGTTATATCGTCAAGTGAATAATATTTCTGAACTAGGTCAGGTATTGATAGACCAGGGGTGCCACACAAGTACAAGTCAAACGCGAAGCGAATTTAGATCCAAGGGATCACGAAGTTTTAACACAGAAACCGGTTATAATTTAATAATAAATAGATCAGTAATAAAGAACTTTAACATAGTAAATAATACAATTTATTCTAAGTATACCTAAAAGTATACCCGATAAAAATGCCACTCGAGAATAAGCTAAATGGTTAGGGATTTACGACGAAACGAACGAAGATTTGATGTCTTACAAAATGTATGGAAGATTAATGCTATTATGCCGATCGATATACAGCATTAAATAACGGTGTTGTAGAATATAGGTACAAGTCACGACTCAAATATAACGCAGAGACAAAACAGTTTAGTTGATATGGCGGTCACAGTGATCACCGAATCATGCAATCATGATTACAATATAGTTATATTTATTATAAAAAAAAATAACGAGGCTAGAGCGAGGACATAAACCAGTTCGACAACTTTAGTACAGTCTAATATTTTACCTACGTTATAAGCCATGTGAGAGAGTGTAGAGCCGTGATAGCTCAGTGTCCGGACGTTCACCTTTAATTCAATATACTTGGGCAACCTGAGTTCGATTCCAGGTGCCGGCACCAATGAAATTGTTAATTTCAAGTGCTGAATTATCACGGGCTCAGCGGTGAAGGAAAACATCGTGGGGAAATCTACAAATTTTCTAAATAATAATAAAAAAAGATATTTCAAAGATATGTGAATTTCGCCAATCCGCAGTGGGGTCGCGTGGTGGACTACGCCCTGATACCCTCTGTACAGAGGAGGCCTTTGCCCAGCAGTGGGACATGTATAGGCTGATACTTTATATGTCATGTAATATAATTAACTGAGGTAATATCATTAAGATTATTCAGCTTGTGAACTGCTAAGCCACCTTTGATACGTTGAAATAATTAACTATATTATCATACAATAGAGTGTTTTGTTCAAATACATAGTTTGGTTTACATCAAACACGTCGACGACGATGAACTCAAAATTTAAAGGAAAAAGATTTTACAATCTCACGATTGTAGTTACTTATGTCAGAACTTGCAACTATACGCTTATCAACTTTTGATAAGAGACCACACCGGATATAGGGCAAGAAGATAAAAAAAGAAGTAAGAAGGTAAACTTGAAACGGATTATAAAGAGCGACTGTAAAAGTGCAAACCATTAATTTTCTTAATAACTTTACTATGTCGATCTTATGTGTGAAAAGTTGCCAAACGAGCAGACGGTTCACCTGATGTTAAGTGAATACCGCCGCCCATGGACATCTGCTTGTACAACCGAGAGTTACAGATGCGTTGACAACCTTTTGAAAATTGGGCTCCGGCTACCTCACTCACCATACGAAACGCGAAAGTATTTGTCATACTTCCACTTTACGCTTGTCTTCTGTGTGGCCGTGGTACTTACCCAGACGGGCCTACCCATTCGTGCAACAGCCGAGGCTGCTGCGTTGCCCTACCACCGTTTATATATTAAGAGTGTAAAATACTAACTAATATACTCCTTGTCTTTATTAAATACTAGCTACTGTCCGCGACTACGTCTGCGTAGAATAGGCTGAAGGTGTAACATTCGGACAGAAAAACAGCTATACATAAAATATGTATATAAATTATAGCCTTTGTCTTATTCTGATGTATAAGCTATATTATTGTAAAGTTTCATTAAAATCCATTTAGTAGTATTTGCGTGAAAGAGTAACAAACATCCATTCTTTCTTTAAGATCTCACAATAAGTCTGAATGAAATGTATGCGCCATAAAAGTTCTGACAACCATAAAAGGAATCTTAAATATTTACTTCTAGGATCCAACTATCCCAAACAGTAACCTCAATGACACCCATTAAACCACGATTAAGAAAGTATCTTAAGTAAGTCTAAGGACGAAGGAAGGTCACCTTGTCACTAGCTCATAGGGAGACACTCCGATGCACCCTAGGTCTGTCTGTATTTCTGAATGTGTTATTCGTAACCATAGCTTCAACAATACAGACATAAAAAGATATATCTTAAACCCCATTATTACTGTCATTATAAGTCCACAGCGAAGAGTAAACGTAGGATATTTTTGAAATTCCATTGACAAAATCATCTTTATGGCATTTTCTGGTGAGTGAGGTAGCCGGAGCCCAATTTTCAAAAGGTTGTCAACGCATCTGTAACCCTCGGGTGTGGCAGATGTCCATGGGCGGCGGTATTCACTTACCATCAGGTGAACCGTCTGCTCGTTTGGCAGTATAAACTATAATGCTTTCTTCACATAAAAAAAGCATTATAGTTTATACCAACACTATATACAAAAACTGGGAGTGTTCTAATAATAATCAATTGTTTACCGGACAGTGCGCGCGCGTAATAAGCGAATGTTCCGCCGCCGCTGCCCTACATTTTTAAACGAAACTCGCCTACCAACAGGCTGCACTGATTAAAGTAACGCCAACGCGTCGTATTACAAATACGTATCATAAAACGCACTAGTAAAAACGGATTATGATTTTCGCATAGCGCCAGTTTATCGTTGGAATAACTAATGAAATGAATAAAAGAAAATAAAAGCATTAAAACGCACTGTTAATAGCATTTCGTTTAAGAAAATAGTCGATATCATAAATTTTAGATAGGGAAAGGGTAACTAAACTATTATTTATTGGGGAGTTTCATAATCCACACTCTGGCGTGTAATTGAACTAATTGTTTTGGTTTAAACTTTAAAGCAAGGAGAAAGTACGCGATCATATTAGAGTTTGGAATGTATTCTTATTAACAGTGCTAATATTTAACCTTCAAAAGGTAGGTTCTCAATTCGATTGGTTATTTTTTTATGTATGTACACCGATTACACTGGAATTTATGATAAGATTCACGTGATTCTTCTTTAGTTTAATGCGGAATAGTTGCCATTAGGTTCCATAAAAATTTAATATGTTTGGCCCAGTAGTTTTCATAATATGAACATTTTTTTCTTCTTGATATACCCAAAATTATGAAAACAAATAAATATATTTGCGAAATGTTACGTCATGTTGGAAGCGTGTTAAGGCTGCAAGAACATTCTAGCAAGCATTAATTTCACGGTACTGATTTTATTGCAGTGCTCGCCAAATTTTTCCTTCTACGTCTGAATTACTTAAAATGCTATTTGCACCTATATAACGTACACACAAAATGATTATATTCTTGCAATGGTTTACCCGGCAACATTTCAACTAGCAATTATACAATTTTATAGTTCTTCTCGTCGTTTGCGGTTATCGCTCCGCAACCGTTATAAAACACTTTTTTTCTTCGAAGTCTATAAATAGACGCAATAGAACGCTTAGATAATTGAATAAAACATGATTTTGTACTTAAAAGTTACACTAAGAGGTATATACATGGTCTAGTTATGACCTTCTCTCATTCAACGGACATTTAACACGATCTTTCAGTTAAACTGAACAACATTCAGACCTTAGTTATTATTAATTTCGAGAGACCGTCTTATTATTATTTCAATAGACCATCGTAGTAACGGCCTCAGAACATGCCTGCAATGTCATTTGCCTCCGATTTCAACCACAAAAAATTAAGATGAGAGACACGCCATATGAACGTAGGGAACTCACATACGTCGTACTTAAGAAATAACAATTTAACGTGAGACCCGAATCCATGCTAATATTATAAATGCGAAAGTAACTCTGTCTGTCTCGCTTTCACGCCGAAACTATTGAACCGATTTAAATGAATTTTGGTACACAGATAGCCTAGAGCCTTAGAAAGGACATAGGCTATTTTTTAATTGGAAAAAACTTTAAAATATATAAAGTTTAAAGAAAGATCTTAATTAAAGTGCTTCAACGAGAGCGAAGCCGCGAGCGAAAAGCTAGTATTATATAAATGCACTGCACTAATACAGACTGCGTCAGACATTTTACAAAGTACAGAATAAAAGCTTCATAACGTGAACGTATCAGCTAATTTGTTTTACAAAATATCGTCACCTTCTTGTAAAAATATTATAGCAAAACATTAACAGATAGTGCCTTGAGGTACTCCATCATGTAGTAAGAAATTGGTGTTAACCATCAATGAATTGGAGTAATAAATTGATATTTGAAACAGCAACGCAAAAGTTAAACTTAGGAGTAATCTTAAGCGAAGGGCATGCACAGGAAAAGTCCTGAGACCAACAATGCCACATAAATAACGGTTCATAAGCGGTTTCTCATACCTATAGTTAGGTACCGCGGTTACATTGTGACAGTCATACTTGATCTAATTACTTTTCATGTACGGCAAAAAGTAATAGTAGATATTGTCAAATAATCGCTAGGCATGGAAACTACGCGCAGCAAGGTTAATAATTATGTATTATCCGGGATTTTAAGTTGTACGTGTTCTTGGACGCACGCGGTGTCCTTACCTAATACCCGCTTACAGTCTTTCCACTTTAACGCACCGCACACTTGCTGCGCAATGTTACGCGAATATTTAAAATTTTTAGGTGTTTAGAAATTTTATCAGTCCTTTAGAGGGGTATGATGGAATGTCACAATCCTAGACCATCTCTGCAAAGCGAATATACTTAATAATAAATAAATGTTCGAAGGTTCGACATTCAGATCTGATAGAGCTTGATGAAACATGGAAGTAGAATTCGTACAAGAGGAAAGCGTGAGAATAAGATAAACCTGCTACAGTCTAATAAACAGTGGTAGGCTCGATGTGAATTACTCTGTGACATTTCTCTGTGTCTGGTCCCAAACTAAGCAAAACTTGAACTAGGTAACTGATAAACATACCTAAATAGACTTTCCTTTTGTAAATAAATACGTATTTTGGATATATAAAACACCCAGGCACCATAAAAGCACCATTATATTCTTCACATTTTTCCAGTAGTGATGATCGAACCCAATCTCTCTGGACAGGTTCACTATCCTCTATGCCAATCCGCTCATCATGAAAGAAAACTAGGTTAGAAACGCCAATGCTCAAGCAAATTTCTATGTCAACTCGATATCGTGTCGCTTAGCACCGAGCTCCGTCACAGTAGACGTGACAATTATATCTCTTTGACCCAGTTGGCGCCTTGTGGGGCTTCCCCGTCCCTGACAGTGATGCCCGTCAACGGCCGAGTTGGCGGTATCTGCGATGTACATTGTTCGTCACCGAGGACAATGCGCCCGTGAACAAACATACCCGGCTCTATAAAGGCATTCATAGAAGTTTGCATGCTCTTTAAATAGGTTATTATAGAAGACGTGACTGAAGACTCGTTGAAATGCAAAAGGGTGGTATTCCATGATGATTCCATGAAATGCCAAAATGATGGCCAGTTGTTGTATCTTTCGTTCCTCCCATCTGATTAGGGCTCATTGTTATTGATCAATGACATAGTAGATAACAAAGAATGAGGCCAAGCCCCGCAGATGGAACATGGTCTTAATGGCCATAAAATTACTATGGCAAATGCTCCTAAGCCGTCATTATTATTAGCCGTATTTATTTCTCTGTGATTTAATAAAAATGAGTCTCCATATTCAGGGGTCCCGGGAACACCGTTTTGCGATATATCCTTTAAGATTGATCCAAACGTGTTCTTTGGTCTATTGCTTTATGTAGACTAGTGCAGAATCATTGTTAAAGAACATTATGATAGTCCATTGAATGTATTAACGTTTTATCCGTTTAACCACGTTGAAAACTCAACAACGTACGGCCAGAAAAAAGAAACTCCGCCTTCTCAAGCCCGATAAAGAAGCGTCCACATAGGAAGACCAGTTGGAAGTGTACCAAATGTCCTTACCTTCGAAGATGTTCTGGATGATGAGGTAGCTCTGGGTGACGACGATCAGCAGTGCCACGTGGGTCCAGGCGAAGAGGCTGAACTGGCGCATGTAGTAGCGCTTGACCAGCGACAGCACGAACCACACGAAGCCAACGCAGTACAGGCTGAACGAGATGAAGCGATGGTACGTCACCAGAAAGTGGAGATAGTCCTGGGAAAGGGAAGTTAAGGATTCGGTGACGACTAAGGCGACTGCTGTTTACAACTAATTACTACGAATTCCATGATCAATCGTTTTATGTTGCTATTCCAACAATGTAGTCAAAAAGCATACTATATTATAAGTCTACAACTAGTCTTCATTTTTCCCTTCTACGTCTGAATTCACTCATAAAACTTTTTTTTTTATATGGAACTGACTAGCGCTTGACTGCCATCCCACCTGATGGTAAGTGGCGATGCAGCCGTGGATGGTAAGCGCAATAGCTCAGTAAAAGCCTATTCACTCTTGCCTATTCACTCTTGCCGTACACACAAAATGATTATATTCTTGCAATGCAATTATTATTGCACACTGCGATCGCAAAAGTGTCGGGTTAGTTTGTACCCAACATCACATCCCATCGATCACATTCATAATTTTATAGTAATTACGTTAAATGAATTAATTCGCTACGAGACTATTCAAATATTAGAAGAACTAAAATGAAAGTATTACTATAGTGTTACTTTATTTTATATTATACGTACATAGAATAAAATAAGGATTTGGGACGAAAAGTTTAATAAAGATAAAATTACGTTCTTGTACTTTTTGGTCTATTTGCTGCTAGTTCAGGCAAAAGCCTTCTGATGTTTCAACAACGTGATACATTGTTCATTTCTGTGCTTGGTCTATGGTGACAAGCTCATCAATTATGCCGAGATGTAAACTAATAGCGGAAGTGGTCTGGTTTTTTTCATGCGTCGGAATGGTAATGACGCAGTAGGGAGTGCGTGGGGTTCTTAAATCTGTGAGTTTCAATATTGAAATTATATTATTTCTTACATTTGAACTCTTAATAATAATTAATATTTGCCATTATTTTTTACAATTAACACGCTTAGTGAAAGAAGATTTCTCAGTACGTTAAAGACATATTATCTATATTCAGTGACTTTAAAGATACAGAATCTCAAATTATCTTTTTACATTGTTTAAGGTTTATGTCTTGCTCCGTTAATTTTAACGTTGATTTGTTTACGCAATTAAAGTCAATGCGTGCATATTTCACACATCAACATTGAAGAATTCGCCTGTAAACAGTAATTGTTCGCGTTATCAACATAATTACCGTCTACACGCTGTCTGATGCGATTTATCTTTGTACGATTATGGATTAGTAAACAAATTTCGGACACAACCGTGCTTTTTTGCTAATCGTACAAATATTTGATGGCAGGAGGTTTCGATTTTGTGGGGATCAAAAGATATCTATCAAGAGCAATTCTTAGCTACCTTAGAGAAGAAGGCTGCCAAGAATTGCTTAAAACGGTATTGTTATTCAAATTCAAAGGCATGGAACAATCGGAAACCAAATAAAGAACTTGTAACTTTAAACTCCAATCAGTGGGAACTAAAATATTGCAACAGTTAAGAAATAAGCTTCTCAAAATAATTTTGGACAAAAAAAAAAACAGACTTCAAACAGGAAAGTAAAAACATTGTCAACACCAATAACATTTGGGTATTGCCCTCGATTTCTCTGAGATGCCATCATCAGATCTAGGTTTCCTTATCACATTTCCTTATCTCCTTTCCAACAAAAAAAGAATCATCAAAATCGGTTCATAAATGACGAAGTTATCCCCGAACACACATAAAAAAAAATGTATGATCGAATTGAGAAACCTCCTCCTTTTTTGAAGTCAAATATTAAACAATAAAGTAAAATGACCAATAAATGGTCGACATTATATCTCCCCTGCAGACTCATTGGCCATCCTCAGTTGTAAGGCTTCGCTACGACAACGAATTGATTGATGAGATCACCAATTGACAGGTAGTAGGTTGTCCAGGGTGTCATCGAAGACCAGCGTGTAGTGGAAATTGAGTATTGCGTTCCGTTTGATGGGCGAAATGGGTAACAAAGTCCCATTGTTGTCTTCAAAGGTTGGTAACGTATCTGCAATCCCTCAAGCGTGCATGGTGCGTTATCAATAATCATCAGGTGAAGCTAATCAAAAGAAGTTTCTTAATCAAAACTTGATTTTTACTTATAAATTAACGAAAATATCAAATTGAAAGGCAAGGAGCGATTAAGTAATTTACGATGTACTATGCGGGGTCCCAAGAATCACATTTAAGCTTAATGGCCTTACAGTTGATACAGCTTAAGTCTATAATATCTAAATCAAACTGACATAAAACTTGCGAAAAGTAGTCTGCAAAAAGTACAGTTAAGGTCACACAACTACATTCAACGTGATTCAGACCAGACTTTATATCTCATACGTTTAACATCATCATGCATGTTTTATAACCTTCTATAACAACTACAGATAGCCGATATACTGAGTTATATTAAGTTGTTTTCGTATAAATGTCAATTTACGATGAAACGACATAAATTCACTCTCATTAGGGTTATGAGATTATTTGAACCAGTTCACTAATAGCCGTGCCCTTGATTCGAGCCCGGACGTTTCTAGATAATCGTTAAGGGGATCTTAATCTATTAAAAAAAAGTAAAGTAAAAGCCTGTACATGTCCCACTGCTGGGCAAAGGCCTCCTCTATACAGAGGGTATCAGGGCATAGTCCACCACGCAATATTTTTTTGTTATTATTACGAAAATATGCAGGTTTCCGCACGATGTTTTCCTTCACCGCTGAACACGTGATAAGTCGGCACTTGAAATTAAAAACTTCATTGGTGCCGGCACCGGGGATCGAACTCAGGTTGCTCGAGTAAATTGAATTAAAGGCGAGCGCCCGGACACTGAGGTATCACGGCTCTATGTATTACTAATGTATTAAAGGACTTACAAATTACAAACCATTCAATAAACTCAAATGGTAGAAATATGCTTTGTGGTGCAGCGTCGAGAAAATAAAATGTTATTTACGTTAAACAGTGCAATGATTAATAACAATATTCAAGGGCAGACATTTTCGCAACAACTTCAACATACGAATTCTTTTGCGTAGAGAATATGTGTATATGTGTATATGTGCCGTTACGAAGTATGATTGTCTCCAGATAGTTTATTGTTTGATATATGATGGTTTTATTCGGAAAACATATAGTTGCTATGGGCTAAGTCGGAAGCGGAATTCTAGATATCTATTTTATACTACAGACAAACCACGAGATCGTAATCCATCCAAGCCAAAGCGCGAGCAACGGCTTTATTATAAATAATTTTGCATCGATAAATTTGTAAACGAAAGTACACCAGTATTATGTTAGCTAAAAATTAATAGTGTAAAAAAATTTTTGTGATTCCGGCACTTAGTTATAATTGGTGTTATTCCGCGCAATTTGCCTGTTTGTCTTGGTGATTACCGGCATCGGAACTTGCGTATAAAATCGTAGTATAATTAATACTGTCGAGAACACAACAGACGAATTGTATTAATAGTTTATTATTATTATGAATACTAAATTACACAGTATAAATACATTGCAGCATTCATTGTGCGACCGATCAGCACCTTACATTTGTTAAGCGCGTTAAAATCCGCGAACGTTATTTAATTCAATCAAAGAAAATATCATTATATTCCATATTTTCATCATTACACGCAAGACTTTTTTACCTCTGTTCCCCACAATAGCCGACTACCTTAATATACATACTACCTATACATAATGTATCTTATGAGAAAAAAACCGTCATTTGTATATTTCCTGTTTGTCTGTTGTCCTGCTTTTAAATAAAAATATTAAATGACAAAATAAAATATATTGGCATCCGCGGAGCCGGACCTGACCAAGAAATAATTCAAACGTAAAGTCCCCAAACCGCGTAGCATCCCATGAAATAATTTAACCTAAGACTGGTCGAAAGAACGCAGTAAAGTCTATCAACATTGATTAACCCACCGCGTAAGACGGGCGTAATTAATTTACAACTTAACATAACTTAGCAACGCCCCAAAACTCGATCAATACACGTTGAGTGGCGCTTCGAGAGCTCGCTATTGATTTACGCGCCGCGAATATGCGCAAGTTGTTTGTTACATTGTCTGTGTACTCGTGAATGAGGTGGGACAGGACGAGTATACGAAATATTAAAAAAAAATAGCAATACAATATTTCGCAAGTGACAAACTAATGGTCGTTACAAAATAATAACTATTACGTATAAATAATAACTATTAATAATAAATAGTAACTAATAGACCACGCCCTTCCAGAATATCTATTAAATGACGCCGCATAATATAACTCTAATAGTTGCCCGAAATATCGACACAGCGCGTGACCTGGTTTTTATACCTCCAGACATATTAGAAATAGGGATAGTGTGGGATACGAAATACACGATACTGTTATATACGAAACAGTATAATACAGCTGTCGTGGAGGCTGAAAGGATATTTCGAGTTGACGAGGAATTCGAATGATCGACCATCTTCTGTAGCACTACATCTCTATTTCTATTTTTTTTGTAAACATTGCCCTTAATGTAATTTAATCTATCCTGTTTTTAAAGACGTTTTACAAACAAAGCTCACGTTGAGAAATATCCATATCCGAAACAATTATGTGCGGGACATACAAATAGCTATCCCGTGTGGGAAACAAGCGTACGACCCTCGGTACCAAAGCCAATACCTTAACAACTTCGCCACGGACACATCGATGGGTTTACAAAAACGCGGCTAGAGCGATGGATCCCTTTCTGGATCTGGTGCAAGTGGCATCTGAGCGTTTAATAGATCCCCAAATACACCACCATAGGCACTTTAGTGCCTGTTCCACATCCCACTAAAATTTATTTTTAACATTGTATGTATGGATGGATGTTTGTTACTCTTTCACGCAAATATTTCTGAATGGATTTTAATGAAACTTTACAATAATATATCTTATACATCAGAATAGGACATAGGCTATAATTTATATACATATTTTTACGTATATCTGTCTTTCCGTCTGAATATTACGTCTACAGCCTATTCAACGCAGACGTAGTCGCGGGCAGCAGCTAGAAACGCATATTTTTCACACAGGGTATGCCAGTGCGGTTGATCGGTATTGTTGGTAAGTCCGTACAAGGGACAAAGGTATCGAATACATGGAAAATCATGTCATGTAGGCATTACTTGCGTTTTAATATCCCGTATATGCTACATTAATGACGTTTAATTCAATCCTCACGTTCATCTATGAACAAAATACTTGAGTCTAAAGAAATCTTATCTGTTACTCGCAAACGGTAGTTAGTATTTCCCTCCACAATATATTATGACTACATATGTGAAAGAACGATGCTAAGTACATATATATAAAACCGTCAAAGTGCGAGTCGGACTCACGCACGAAGGTTTCCGTATCTTTTAAAACGGCAAAAAAATCACATCTTTTGTATGGGAGCCCCACTTAAATATTTCTTTATTCTATGTTTTAGTATTTGTTGTTATAGAGGCAACAGTATACATCATCTGTGAAAATTTCAAATGTCTAAATACCACGGTTCATGAGATACATCCTGGTGACAGACGGACAGACAGATAGGCAGTGGAGTCTTAGTAATAGGGTCCCGTATTACCTTTTGGGTACGGAACCCTAAAAACGCAAACCCAAAATTGCGGATTGTAAAAACAACGCACTTTTATCGGTCAGTCAACGACATCCGATTTAATTAAAAACAATTATAATCACTTATCACGTATCACTTTTGCTCACGTGCATGGTGAGTACGCATTTGAAAAACAAAGGCAGCCCGCGATTTAATCGCCTTCGACTTCGCCTTAAATAATCCTTCGACTTAAGGATCTGTCTCAGTTCTATTATCATAACGCGTATTATTGTTATCAGGTAGGCATAGTTAGAAGAATGGTGGTCTACGGTGTACGGCAACTCTTAGAATTAAAATACTAACAACACAGTAAAGATAAGCTATAACTTATCAAGCGCGTGCACCTTAAAAAACTGCGTTGGAATCAATTCTAAATTGTGGGAAACAATTGCGAGACAGTTCTAACTCCGCGCCCCGGAATGGCTTGTGAAAAATGCCTATGTACTGGCGATGCGTTCGATAATTATAAACCTCGAGGTATTCGCAATAAACAGTACACAAATCGTGCGATGTGCTTCGTTGCCCTTGGGATTTAAACCTTTTACATGAGCCTAGAAGACAGTTAATCGTAAAATTGTTGCGTATTTCTACGAGTCTATCAAAACCGAACACGGTACTAAATCTAATCGAACAAAATATGTCATCAATAGCTGACAAAAAAAAAATCGGACTATTTGACAGTAAAGTCATTTGTGTTAAGGATGACTGGTGTTTATTGATACTCGTTACTTACATGCGCGTTGATTTCATATAAGTTATTACTTTTCGTGAGCAGCGCAGAACGTTTGAGTCGGTCGATGTATATTTTTATGTGTCGATAAACAAGAAAATCATCAAACGACTCTTCGTATTCTAGTAACCTTACCCAACGCTATTTATAATTCGCGGATGTTATTGATTCGAATGAACTATGCTTTTGCAACGCAAATCTGAATAATTGTTACATTGTAAAAAGTGCATGTCTGTGCTAAAAGCTTTGTAGGCAGCTAAACACCAGTCATATTAGCATGAAATCCCCTTATCCTTGTATATTGTTCTATTCCCATAAAGGAAGTCTAATATATAATATTATATATTAGACTAATATTCAAATTAAAATTTTGATTCTTATTATTAATTCCAATTTATTCCCTAGCAGCTACCATTAAAGATTTTCATTACACACTCATGTGTTTAGCATATACATTATTTAGTTATGCATTCCTGGTATTTCATAAAAATAATGTAAAAATTTCCAAGCATTAGGAATTCCCACTGTTTTGCAAATTTAATGAGTTTGAGTCATAAAAATGTACTTAAACAATTAAAACCCACATTTAATAAAATCAATAGAAGCTAAAAGTAAAATGATTACTGAACCACTCTTAAGATATTCTTATGGAATGGTAGGGTATGGGAAATATCATATTTCCCATACCCTACCATACCAAATATGTGGTTTTGCTTCAAATTAAAATATTCATAATTCATTCACTTACTGTCCTATTAATGACCACTCCAAAGTAGTCAATGAGGTTCTCCCCATAGAAGAAGTAGTTGGAAGTCAGCAGAAAATACCAAGAGAGGGAACGGAACCACGGCAGGCCGTGAACCCGGTAGACTGCATACCCAATGTTGATGATCTCTTCAAAGCACTTTACTTGTACGCAAAGAACCTACAACAAAAATAAATATCAATAGAATATTCTACAGTGGACCATTAATTTTTCTGGTGTTGTGTGCTTTCTATTATACAGTTACAAAAGTATAGTACAGTTAGTGTGTACAGTAATCATAATTTAAAAAAGTTTAATATGAAATTGCTGTCATGGATTCAGCATGGCACTTCAAGACCTCCTTCCAAAACCCTCCTCCATTAAGCGTGACATAGTTAAAAATCTAGTACATTGACAAAATAAAAACAAGCAGCCTATAAGTTAATTCAAATTTTATAAGATACAAAAAAAATATTTCATATTCAAATGTGTTATAGTTTAAACATGAATAATAGCAAAATTATACATACTGTTATCATAAGAGCTAACGGACCCCCATAGATGAGCAAACAAAAAGCTCCAATCATTAACCATGTGAAAATACCACGGATCACCCAGTTCCTCCATCTAAGACAAATTACATTATTAATTATATTTTTAATATTTATCACCTGAAATCATCATATAAAATACAGATTTTCCATTTAATTGTATGATAAAAATATGATTAAATTACCATTATATGCATTTTTACATGATGTTGCAAATCAAATAATAATACCTAAAATAGAAATTTAAATATGTATGTTATTTTGGCCATAACATAAATAAAATACCTCATTGTTTTAACTCTACTTAAATATTTTTCTATTAAATTGCAATAGTTGAGTGAATACTATTGTTGCCATTTATTGGTTACATTTATTATATGTTTCTGAATCAAAGTCCTAACAGATTTAACATTAAATTGAAAGAACTAGAAACAACTAATACAAAAGAAAAAAGTACTTTGTTCAGAATTTTTTCGTCACTGGAAATAACTTACCGGGAAGACAATCCCGAGAGAGCTGAATCCAAAATTTCGGGAGTTTTATCAGTACCTTGAGGTAGATTCTTCGCCAGTTCATCCACATATTTCTCCTCTAAAACCTTTTCTTCTTCAGAATCCACCTAAAGAATTCATGATAAAATATTTAACATTTCAATGCTACACATCAAAAAACTGAACAACTTAACAAAAATTATATCCTACATGATCGGATTCACCGGCAGTTTCCACTTTATCATTCCCATCACCTTCACCACGTCGATGCCGTATTTCACTCATGTTGTTTGCAACCTAAGTAACAACAATATAAACTTGACAAAATCTATGCGACACAGTTAATATTTTAATCCATTTACGATCAGAAGCACCGTCTTATGTTTTCCTTTTACATCTAAGTGTCAAACGAAAAATCAATAGGTACTACGCTTTTTTAATTTTTGTGTTGCCATTTACTTACCACTTTGCGTGACTTTTTAAGTATTTAATTTTAATTTAAAAGCGTATCACTCATATTTCATTTAAAATAAAAGGAAATTAGTGAAGTAAGAATACATTATAGAATAAGAGCTAATTTTTTTACATACAAATCACATTTCCCTTAATCTCAATTTGTTGTACTTTGTACGATATAATATTTCATACAAATTAATGACTATTACCAATATGGATTTTGATAAATACTTTTTTATAAATAAGATGACTTTTTCTTCATAATCCAAATGTCCAGCTGAACCAATCATATACGGCCGGTTTCTGAAACATTGATCTGAATGATCTTCTAATGATGGCTGATTAGTTAACATCTACGATGATCAGTGTTTCAGAAACCGGGCGTAAGTTAAGGGTGCTATGAAAAGTTTTTTAACCCTGAATGATGACTTGAGTAGGCGATGATGAATAAAATTTAATTTAATTTTTATTTTTAGGTTTTGATGTTAATAACGATGTTTCAATAATCTTAGTAGATAAATACAAATACTTCATAATTTTAATACAAACGGATCGAAAGTCTTGTATCTGTGGGTATTGTGTGATGACTTTTACCTATTACTTTGGTCTTTTTGCGTCAAACTCAATTAAAAGAATAAAATGTGTAAATAAACATGGCGTGTGATTTGGATGAACTTGAGAAAAATATAGAAAACGTAAGTTTTTACTGAAAGTTCAATTAAAAAATCAGCTAAATTATGTAAATAAATTAAAAAAAATTCTTATTTTCAGTTGAGAGCCATTGTAAGACAGTCATTTGCACGTATTTATGCTAGTTTAAAAGCGAGAGAGCTAAAGACTTTGAGACAACTCGACGCTATTCGTAAACAATGTCAAGATGACAAAGACTTGAAGAGAAATTGTGTTCAAAGTATTGAAATAAGTTATGAGAATGAGCCTGTAATTTTAGAAAACATAAGTAAATTTGGGGCTATTGATTTTGAGAAGCTTAATTTTGATAGCAAAACATTTACATTAGAAGACTACGTTAGCCCAGATGACGATCATATGTATTTGTATAAAACTATTGAAGATGTGACCAAAAAAGAAGATATTAACGATTTAGAAGCAATAGAGGAGGCTGCCTTAAAAGAAGTAACTTCCACAGAAAATTGTGTATGTGTAGTAAATATTCATGCGGATGATGTGTCAAAGAAATTTAGGAATTTGGATGCTAATACAATGTCATTGCAGATAGCCAGTGATAAAATTATTGAGTCAAATGTGAACGACGATAATGAATGTCCGGTTGTGCTTGAAGATGAAATAAGTGAATGTTCTGATTCAGAAATGAAGAAAATAAATCCTACAGATGACTGGTTAAATTCAATAAAAAATCAAACAGAGACCGAGCCTACTCAAGTCACAGATGTAATGGAGCATAGCACTATAACTTGCTCTTAATAGACATCTGTATATAATATTTTAACAGAGTTTTGTTACTTAAGATAGGTAAAATAAATTTTGTATTTTATATGACATGTTTATTTTTATTATGCTTTGGAACATGTTGATGCTCTTCTCTCAGGAAGTATTTGTAAGGTTACTTGTATAACTTTATATTTTCTAACATGTTAGCAGAAGCAATTTGTATTCAGAAGCCTTGTTGTAGATCAGGTACATAGACTGCATAGTAGATTTTTGTTACCTATATGTAGTAGATACCTACATGTAAACTGAAGGTCTTTTTGTTATATAGTTTAGCCTAGTGATGATTTTTTTATGTGAGAAAGTGGCAAAGGAGCTTGCGTTTCACCTGATGTTAAGTCATAACCGCTGTCTATGGACATGAAACACCCGTAGGGTTGCAAATACATTGGCCAAAGTGGGCCCACGGCTACCACACTCACCAGACGAACCACTGAAGTGTAGCACTTCTACTTTACACCAGTCTTCTGAGGTTGTGGTACTTACCTGGACAGACCTGTCCATTCGTGCAACACTTACATGGTTTTACCACAGGAAATTGTAGTATGTTTATTAATATAGAATATGGAATATTTACAGGTATTTATTGAAATGAAACTAGAATTTTAAAGCATCAACTTCTATTGTTAATACATTTTTACAAATGGCGTTACTGAATACTTAAAACTAATATGCATTGACTTCCGATTATAATTCCTAATGAATAAATATTACCCTTTATTATTTCCGTTCTTTGTGTAAATTCAATACAACAAATTACAAAAATTGTCACCAATCATCCAAAACCAATACCTTTGCCTGATTAGCTCATCATATCTGTTAAATTACAGTTTTATTTATGGCACTTATACATGACAAACATTTTACAAACCATCCTTTAAAGTTATCGCTGATGGATGGAATCTGTTAATGGAAAAGGTATTCTAGTTTGTACTCAACTTTTTCACTGGAAATCTTGTAATGGCACAAAAAAGGGTGCTTATGCTGAGGATAATGTAGTTTAAATAGAGGATTAATGTAATGAGGAAAAGTGATTTTGGATATAATGGAAGGATAGGGTGCGGTTACATCTACAAATACTGTATATAAATAGGCACTAAATTCTTCTGTGAAGTTTGTGCTTAGGCCAAGGCTTGTATTTATTGAAATATAATTCTTATTGTCTCAATACTTTCAAAGTGAGCTACAAACTAAGAATGATCATTAATAATTATATATGAATACCAAGTTAAATTATTTTTACTTTGATATTTTCAATGATAAGTTAGTAAGGCTATATAATTCCTTTAAGAGAATACCATAGTTATAAAAGGATAATTTTGCAAGTCAAGAGAACAAAATTTCAAATGAGTACATGTTTGAACTACATACGAAAGTGTACCTAATGTTACCAAGTTGTTATTATCATTCTATTCTATCTTAAAGTGTATATTATTACTACTATTGTACATTTTAAACAAAATTGACATATATCAGATACTATACAAGGCCAAAATCTGTGCATACTGCTGCAACATCACGATTGTTCTGCTTCTCAGAATTATTGGCAGCCATATTTAACTCAACTAGCGTGTCCACGCTGTTAATACTAACTCCTTTTAATATCTTCTGAGCAGCTAAACTGGTAAAGTTAAAGCTAAGATCGCTCAAACTGGGAAAATTGTAGATGTCCTGATTTTCCTTCTTAATATCCTGACTTAAACTGTACCTCTTCTGTTTGTTCTCCAAGCAGTTAATCTTTTCTGTGGATGTTTTGATGTCTTTCAGCGTATCCTGATTCTTTAGTGCGAGGTTTGGTTCAGAGCCCAGCACGGCGGGCTTCTGGTCCACTCCTTTCGTCAGCATATTAGCGATTGATTCAGTACTCATTCTGTTATTGACGTTCGGTAGGCCGTTCAGCATTTGCAAGGCTGCGGCCTTCTTCAACAAGTCGACGCTTTTTAGTTCGCTGTTCGAATTTATATTCGTCTGCATCCCGCTGTTGGCGGACGACAAAGAGTTCTTCTGGTACCTAAGACTGCCTAAAGAGCCGATCATGTTGTCGTAGCTTTTCGTAGGCGTCGACGGGTGACTGTTAGTTGTACCATCCATACTGTGAATGTTGTTATGTATAGCTGGGGAAGCTGGATTCGACGCCACTTCGTTGGTGTTATTCAACTGATTTTTGTAAACGAAGCTGTTGTTGTTCGTCGTGCCTATCTGCAGCGACAGTTTTCGATTGTTGTTCATACTCGTGTCGTTGATCGAGTTTTTTATGAATTTGTTGTTCTCTTGCACCTTCACCGTTTCGGGCTCCTGAAACATCTTCTTGTTTTTCTCCACGCACACGTCGAATGACGTCTCGGTCGGGTTTTTTGCCGCTTGGCTCGATCCGTTCTGCGAGACAGAGACCACTCGGCGATCGTCGTTGAATATGTAAATGTTGCTGCCGTTACTAGTCTCCGTTACCTTTCCGTTTTCAAATGTTATCACAGACCTCACGGGGGAGTTTTGTACGTACACTTTGGTGTTGGTGCCGCCGTTTTGTGACATTGTGTTGGTGGTGACTTTCAGCGTGATGGAGTTGTTGGAATTCGAGCTGGCGAGTACCGATGTCGCCGGATTTTCAGCCTTGTTGCCCAACGTCTTGTTATGTAGCGGCGTAGGCTTCTTCGGTGTGTTTGGACAGTTTTTTGGTGATGTGTTACCGTTTTTTACTGTCTCGCCACCGACTATTGGCGGTTTGGTTCTGTACTTGTGCAAGCTCTTTGGAGAGCTCTGCAGACTTTGAACTTTCACGAGCGACTGCGCCCTGCTCAATCCGGTCGCTCCGTTGCTGTGACTAGGCGATGGCTTCAAAGTGCGGTCCGAAATGTGCGATTCCAGGCTTGAGTGGCCGCTGCTGCCGCTTGTGTTGTAGCCCCTTTTCATTGGGGAGTTGTCTGGATTCTTTTCCTTTCGCGGTGTCCGCTGCGTGTTACTCTCCAAGCTGGAGGGCCCGCTGGTTGACACGATGTGATCTGAGTAGTCCACCCTTCGAAGACTCCCGCTAGGGCTGTCCCTCAACTTTCCGCATGTCCTTTGCGGCGATCCGAAGTGGTCCAGGATGGTTTTGTTGGTGGAGCTCCTGCTTAGCGTCGACCGTGGCAAACTGCCCGAGCTAGGGCTAGAGTGTCTGACCGGCGAGTGGTCGTAATGCACGGAGCCGGCTATGCCCGACTCGGTCGAAAGGTGCCGTTTGTGCCTGCGGGGCAGCGTTGACGATCGGTTGCTTATCTCCGACCCGTCGTAGTACGACGACACGTAAGATGTTTGACTCTGCAGTGACTCCTGCAATTTAAATTAGAATAGTGTTATGTTACAGTTGAAAATCGTTGAAAATTTCTTAAAATATGCTCATATGACGTTTCATATTTTAAGAATTGTAGTGTGGTTACACTCCAGGATATCGACAACATTAGTTGCTTTGTGTCAAGTATTTGGTCAACAAATGGTAAAACTCTGCTTAACGAAAAGGATGCAGGTGCGTTGCTAAGCTTTAAGCGGATGAGCTTCCGGTTACGTCCAAGACGACACTTGAACTTAAATTGGTGGTCTCGTGTGAAGTCGGTATACTTCCCTCGTCAAGCCAGCCCGTAGAAGATGCTGTTGGTCGACTCTACCACAGTAGAGTGGTGGAGTACCTTATTTAAAGTTATGTTACACAACTTAAAGAGGAAGTACAGTATTCCTTAAAAACTATTCTGTTAACAAAATCGAATTAGTTTCATGCGAGTCCTATTAAAACATGACTTCTGTTAATCCCTGCCGGGGTCTGCGCTGTGTTGTGTCAGGTACACCGTACTTCGACTAACTGCTGCCCCGCGAAGGACTTGAGAGGTGTACCGTGTTCATTGCGCCGACACGGCACCATTTGGCTGGACCGGTTATCCAAACACCCGGAGAGAGGAGGCCTGAGAAGGCCACAGTCGCGCCGGGGTTCGCGGAAGTTTGCGTTTGCGTGTTCCCGTGTCCCCGGCAAAAGCGACCCACAAGGCAGTGGGGGATCCATAAAGGATTTTATCCACGTAAAAAAAAAAAGGAAAGGCGCACCGTACCTTGGAGTTGGTTTGTGTGGCGACGCAGTGCAGGTGCACGGCCTTCGAGTTGAACCACTCGGTGGGCGGGAACTGCGCGGAGAAGGTGCTCATCGCGCGCGTCTGCTTGCTGCGGCCGCTTCGTCTAAATAAGCGGGACAGCAGCGACACTTTCTCTGCGAAACAGACGCAAACGTCAATGGTTGAGGGCGGTCAGCGCGTTGTAATATGGCTCGATGTTTTATGGTAACACAAAACATTTCATTAAAATCGGTCCAGAGTTCAGTGATATAAACACGTGTGGAAGAATTATATATATATATATATATATATATATATATATATATATATATATATATATATATATATATATATATAAAGATGGGTGAGATCAAAGAGAACCAAGTATAAACAATTTCTAACATTTTGTAAAAACTTCCCACATGGCAAGGGCCTTTTAAAGTGTCGAATAATACATTGAGGACAAAGATGTTTGGATATGACTCTTGCTCTACACTGCAAGTGCCCCGGATGCTGCTGATTTTACACCTAAATAATTTTGTATACTCGTACCATTAAAAAAAAATAGCAAGAGAACAGAATTTCGATTCTTCTCCTAGACAGGTCTACGTTATAATTTCTTGTATTTACGCGATTACACATTATAAATGAAACTAATTTTACGGATTTATCGCGTTAAATCCGACGCGATAAATCCGTAAAATTAGTTTCATTTACAGGTCTACGTTCTTTAGTTAACTACACGGCTACATGTTTTTGACGTTCAATAGGAGCGTACCGAATAAAGAAATTTTGATTTTGATGCAACTCTTCTGGGAAAGTAGCAACAGTCACGTGTATGGCGTGAAAAACTTACTTGGCGACGCAGATTCGACGCTCGGCGGGTAATCTGTGGAGGAGGAGCTATCAGTGGTGTTAGCGTTCTTGTGATGCAGGCTCCTGGTGGATGCGCAGCGCTGCAGGTATTTGCTGGACGAGCCGAATATCCTCAGCGAGTGGCGCCTGTCCAGGGTGCGGGGGGCCGGGAAGGAGGCGCTGCGACGCTTGTTCGGCCGACCGTACAGGATCTTGTCGTTTGGGTTGCCTGCAATGAAATCAATAGTCATCAGTGGCGTATTAGGAAACAAGTTAATAGCAATACCTCTAAGAGAACTTAGAAATTAGAAATATATTGTTATCAGTGGTGTATTAGGGAACACGTTAATACAAACAACGTCTGAAAGAACTTAAAAATTAGAAAAGAAAAAATTCAGTCTTTACTTGATACGGAAGGCAACTAGACAAGCCTTTCAGCTGGCGGTAGGTGAGTACCGCCCCTAGTTCCTGGTGACTTACCAACCGCTAGAGTATCGGCCTTCGGCTGCCACACTCGGCGAACGAAACGAATGATTATGAGATGAATGTTTTTATGAGTTACTATTAAGAAATGAAGTTTGGAAACATTAAAAGATAAATATGAAATTTCAATGTTATATATTTCTTTTAATTTATACATTTCGGTATTTAATTCCCACCAAACTCTACATTTTCGCCGTATATGGCAAGACTAAACAAATTGAACTGAGTTTCGAGTTTCTAGTTTGAAATAACTCGATTGATCGTTTTAGTCGAAGTATCATGAACGTTACTGATTTACCTTACTAAATCCTACCGTACATACAAATATATTTCATATTGTTTCATTGCATGCAGCAGGCGCGTTAAACACTCCAAAGATAAAACAAGCAGTTTATGGTGATATTTCAGAGAGATCGTTAAATCTAATATGGAGAGTAGTAACTTGACAATTTTATGACAATAAATTGAGCCCGTAAACATGTGAAACTTATGGTCACGCGTTGCAATATGGTGTTAATAACATATAACAGAGTTAACTGACTGCAAAACAGAAAGATAACGAAGATTGGTAATGAAGATTTAGATCTCGAACATCGCACGAAGTCGTTTTCGATTAAGTTGTAACACAGTTGTTTTATTGGTCTAGTGTGACATATTTTACTATGCATTTGGCTAGTTTCACAGTAATGATTAGATAAACTATTTTCATCATAACCGCGACGTAACAATTGAGGATATTTTAATTGAAGGCGCGCCAGCAATTTCCTTTTACAATTCTAACTGGAATTAGATGATATTGTGATACGAATCCTTGTTTCTATGGCATTATTAAATAAAATATTTTTCACATATTAAATTGGAGAAATCTTGATGCATAATATAACAGAAGTCACGAAAAATTGATACCTCTACTTTAACGGAGGTGTTTATGTGCGATAAAAAATGACAAAAATTATACTTTTCAACCAAACTAATAATGAGTTCGGAAGAAGAAACCATTCACGTCTTTTTTATGTTTAAATAACAATAATACAGTCAATTTTGAGTACCTAATCGCAGCAATGCCTTGTAGTGTCATATACAATTATCTACTCTGAAATCTAAGTTTGCGACATCTCGAAAGATTTATCTCAATCGTGTGAATGGCACAGGAACGCATAAATGAATTTGGGACGTGCAGACAAACAATCACTTCTATGTACATAATGTAGATCGTATCGAAGACGTGTCAAAAGCGTCAAAACGAGGAACGTAAACACGTAGCAAAAACTGGATGACCTGTAGGAGGAAGTAAAAAAAAGTAACGCAGATGGAGTATCCTACCAGCTAGCGACATTCCGCACCTTCTGTGGTGTTTGATAGATAACACTCGAATGAAAAGAAATGGATACGTGACGTTTGTGGAGTACGGGCGCATCCGTCTCAGAAAAGGCGCGGTCACAGATTAGATCGTTTTGTAAATATTATTGAAGTGTTTTACTGTATTTGTAATATCGGTATATGTCAAAGGAGAGACTGATTGATCGACTGAATTATCTATTGAGGTCCAGTTACATTTTAATGGTGTAGGGCCACGCAGGAGAGTCCTCAGTTGTACGAGGGGGCAGCGCCGTCCCATAAGTCGTCTCATAAGACAGGCGTGAAGGGAAGTACGAGTATAATACATTCGCGTTTCCTTTGGTAAATGAGGTGGAAGGAAATTAGTGGGTTATTTGAATGTTGGGAACGCATCTTCAAACCCACGACGAGTTGCAGTAGTACATAGGCGGCGATAATTACATAAAATTAAGTGAAACATTTGCAGACATTTCACTTAAAACAAAAACGGTCAAAATTCGTTGCGATAAGGAATGTGATTCTGACTGTAGTTGTGATAAATCACGTAAAGTTCATCACTAAAGAGGATGCTTCGGGATAAAAACTTGTGGAATTCTTATTTCAAAAACTTAAAATAATACCTATGCCATAATTTTTGAATTATTCACCTTTAAAAATGCATCACCGTATAAACGAGGTACATTAACACCTTAATTTGTTCTAAATAGCAATGATCAGATTTAATTCGAATGCTCTGAATTACTCAAAGGCATTAAGCGTAGTGGCTCGCCTTGGGGGAGCATTAAGGCAAAATGATTAAGCTATTAACTGGCTAAGGGCATCTAACAATGTTTCATATTCTTGGCGGCCAGTTAAATTTCTATCTGTAGCGTGTCATTAAAAAATAAATTTATACAGTACATAAGATATATGTTTATTGCTGCTGAAATAAAAGGCCTTACTTCTTCGAATTTTCCGACATGTGTATTAATTATTTTCAAACAGTTCCAGTATTATTTTGTTGCTAGAGAATAAATAAGAAAATTACCACTGTTCATAGGCCCTAAATTTAAGCGACGAGGCCAGCGCTGACAGGCCTACGAATTTGAAAAGAGCCGGTAAGTGCAATCAGAATACAGCATCGTTACAACTTTTTTCAACGTAAAAAGTTGGCAAGCGGGAAGGCGGTTCTGATGTTAAATGTACATCTATATATGTATCACAATTGGTGGGTTGCAGATGCGTGGTCCAGCTGCAAATTGGCTACCACACTCTCGCTATGTACGTGCTGTCAAATAAATAAGCTCCAGTGTGAACGCGCCCCGTGCGTGCAAATCGCATGCAACCGGTGACGCATAAAGAACGCAGAACGCCGCGTTCGCAGATGCGTCCATAAATCAGCGTTGAACTTGGCAGCCGATCCGATTTACTGGACTCCGATGTTTTTGCCGGGAGGCGCTTTTTGCGGGCTCGCGCCTGGCTCATTCGTTGTTTGTTTTGGGCTGTTTGCGGGCCTGAGTCAGACAATTGGAATAGCGCGTGACGTTCGCGCGACGGCGACGCATAAATAAGGGACGCCGTCCCGTAATGTCTATTGCTATCAGCGGGCGCGCGCGCCTAAACGCGTCGACGATGTTGTTTATGCCTGATAATTTAATGTTCCCTTAAGTGAGATATTATGTGGTAGGTACTTAAGCTAATAATTGATATGTTTTTGCCACAATATATCAACAGTTGTAATTCGTTGTTTCGTTGATAACAGCCAAGATAAAGCAGTCACATTAAGTTGACAGTATTCGAACGATATAACACCATACCGTTATAAATAATTTATTGATGGGTAAATTACATTATAATTCAGAAGAGAAATTTATATTATTTTACTACCAAAAATAATAAAGTAGTAAACTTTACACGTCTAATATTGACATTTAAATGGAGACAAAATAATAAATATTATGTGATTCTAATGACATCATAACTGCATCATAATTCATCATCATCCTCCTGCCCTTATCCCAGCTAGGTGGGTTCGGCACCACATGAAAATCATGTTGTAAGCTGATTGTCTATGATTTTTACTACCGGCCGCCTGCCCGACTCCAGCTCTCCTAGGGAATTAAACGCCCAGATCCGGAACAATTATCTGTGGTACACAAAAACTTGTTGGGTGTGGGAATCGAACCCACGACTCCGAAGCCAATACCTGAGCAACGGCGCCACTGAATCATAACTAATAATTCGAATCGTCTATATCCTCAGGTACGTAATATATAGGAAAATTTAACTTTTTTTTAAATGATAATTCTTTATGTAAATACTAATGTTAAGGCAATATTATTTCTAAAATTACATATTATCCAATAAACCTAATCCACGCGGCATGGTGCCAAGAACGCTAGCTGCATTTCCTCGCTGAATATTTATGCTTAACCTTTGACGGAGAAAAGAACCAGCTCTCTTGATACTAAAAAAAATTAACCAAAATTACCCCTTTAATAGTTCGCGATACACACACCGCAACTTGCGCGTCCCATTCCTCACGCGTATGTTGCAGTTAGAACGAGGAGGCGATATCGTAAACATCCCGGAATACCGAATACGCAAACCGGCTAATGGTGATGATATATGGTGAATAGCGGGCACCGCTAATTAACGACGGCGCCTGCGCTGCTCTCAAATAAACATCGGAGCAAACAAACACGTCACAGGCAGTAGACGCGCATAATTTAAATACGTTTGAGTGATGTTCGCCTCGCGAGTTCTGCGCAGATACCGTCGACGATAAAAGCTTTAACACAACCTGATATGTAAAAAAATGTATGCCCTAAATTCGGGTTTATTGTATATTCGGTAGTATCTAGCGGTGTCGCGGTTGTACAGTTCTGCTTAGATACCGGCAAGGATAAAAGCTTTAACACAACCTAATAGGTAACAAAAATGTATGTCCACAAAACTGAATATTATCTAACCGTGTTCGCGACTGTACGTGTATACTAGCGTGTGGCGGGAGAGAGACAAAGCTATATTCAATTAAAATATAGCTTTGTCTAATTAAATGAACTGTCTATTGTGCAATGCTTCGGACGAACTTCGAATTTTGCTATTATTCAGAGTTAGCAAATGCATAGACTTGAAGAGATAGTAAATTCCCTCTCATGTCCAATGGGAAGAGGTGAATATGGGGGCAAAAAAAAACAATGTCGACCGTGGTAGCGTCCGAATGCGCATTCGTGCGCAGAAGTTCCACGGCCTTGTGGAATAAAAGTATTGAAATTTATCATTGCGTCTGAGTGAGGTAGCCCGGACCTATTTTTTAAATGTTGCCAACCCCTCGAGTGTTGTAGACGTCCTTGGGCGGGGGTTTTCACTTAAAATTCTCGCTTGACAACTTTTCACATAAAAAAAAAATGTTTGCGGCCTCTCCCG